GTATTATATAGTGTCATATTTCAAACGGAGTTTTGTTATGTAACATTTCTCGTTACATAAAAAAGAAAACTTAATCAGTTCCTACATATGTATATTTGCTGAAGTAAAAAAAAGAAATAGTTTGTTCAAACTTAAAAGTTTTGAACACTACTATATACATGTTATTGTTTTTATATTTTATACGACATATGATCTATTAAAAAAAGTTCTTTAGAGAAAGGTCGTGCAATCTTGCCCATTAATAGCGTCCTTTTCTTTTTTCCTTTAAAGACACAGCAACAACATTCTTATCTACATCTTAACATATATAATTATCAAGACGAAAAGTCAAGGTAATACCCAAATAAAGATATAAATTCACATGTTTTATTTACTAATTATCTTCGATAACCATCATCGTATTCTATTAGTTAAATACAAACATATTCATTTAAAGTACTCAATGATCATAGGAAAAAAAATTCGCTACACACAACACCTTGGTGATGTATTGGATTAACATTTTTTTTCTTATAGGTTTGTATTATACGTTTAACAATAGAAAATCGATTTTCTTAGAGGAAGAAATCTTCAAAAGGCGTTGGTGGCGCGACAACATGAGCAAATCTACATCCAGTAGATCTTGAATTGAGCCAAATGATGATCTAACTTCTAAGAGTTTGATGTGGATAACACACTACTCTAATTTAGCTCAACGGTATTAATTGAAATGGACTTAGACAAAGATATGATTGCTGTAGCTAATCAACTTTGTATCTGATTTTCTAGTCTAGTGTTCTTCCTTTTAGATCAAATTTTCAACTATTCGTGTGCTCAACATTAAATGAATCGTTTATTTTCTGGTCTCCGTCGACGTAAATCGTTCGATGTTAATAAAAAGCCACCAACATTCAGAGTGTACTATTTGGGTAACATTCAAACATCTCTGACACGTGGTGAAGGTTGCGCTGATCGGCCATCAAAACTTTTGTGGGATATGCACGTGAAGAATAATGGTCGTTTAGGACGGAAGTTAAGATTAACAATAACTACATCAGGCTTAGAAGCCGAAAATTGTTTAACACATGAAATAACAAAATATTCGACAAATCGTATTGCCTACTATTGTGTTGCGAATAAACTTAATTCGAAAATGTTCGTATGGGTCTATCGACATGTTAATACAAGATCTGGACTCACAACCGAGTTAAGATGTCATGCATGTTTATGTTCAACAGAAGAAGATGCAAAAACATTAGGTAAGAGTTATCGTATTGTATTTTTTAGAATAAATAATTAAATATTGTTTGTCTTTTATAGCTACCCTACTACATCAACGTCTTCAAATAACAATCAAAGAGTATATTCGCGAGAAATATCGACGTCAAATCATTCGTTTAGAAACGCCAAAACGTTTATGCACGTTGAGCTCTGCGTCAAATTATCGTGAACCTCTTGTTCGATCAATGTCAACGATTGGTGTTGGTCGTCTGGATGCAATTAACGAAGATATTGAAGAAAATATGGATAAAGATCGTGCATTAACAGAAACTGATATTCTCAATTCTAATAATGCAGATCCCGAAATTTTAGTAACATTGAAACAGTTAAGTCTTGATTCATCTGATCTCGATTCACTTCTATCATCAATTTCAACATCTACATTTGCTAGTGGAAGGACTAATTATGAAACATCGAAAACATCGAGTTTATTCAAAAAGAAATTATTATTTAATAATGCTTTGTCTGATATTTTATGAATAAAATATATATTTATGGGAAAAATTGTTCGAAGACTCTGGATTTGTGTTCTAGGATGTCATAAGATCGTATAATAGGAACTGATGTGATTC